TTTTACAGCTCTTATCGTTCCCCTGGAATATGGCCTTGAGACAGCTCATCCGTGTCCTTCACTGTGTTATCTCTTCTAACTTTTATTAAAACTTCAGCTTTCATCTGAAGATAGCTAATTAAATCTGGAACAGATTATATGCCTCCCCTTAAAAAGAACACAAAACTATTTTCTTCAGCCTGAACAATGCTTTTTTATCCATCCAAAAGATGAAACCAAAGGTGTTTAAGACGACTCATTTATTTACAAAGCTAACATGCTTGACATGTCATAGATAGGCTGATTTATATTCAAGTTGTCTGTGGTATGACAAGTTTTTAAAGTATTTCTTAAAATAATTATTTCTCAATATTGGCAATCTTTTTTTCTCATATCCTTTAAATATCACAGCTAATACCATAGCTTATTTTCTGTATAAAGTTGGGTAATGAGAAATTCGAGATTAACAAGTATTTCTGCACATCAAGGGATTTATCTTTAAAAAATTTTTTCACAGTTGCCCTCATTTGATAAAAATGAAAATGTTTTCCTTTTTATTCTGCCTCCCAAATGCTAGAAACTCCACGTTTCCCCCGCTGAAATTATGTGAAAACATGAAATTAAAAGCAGTGCTTCAAATTTAGGATTGACTTAGTTTTCAAGACAGCTTTACACCAACTAATAGTTAGCACAAGTAGCTTAGTCTTAATCTATCATAAATTACTAACAATGGAGCTTCCATAATCGATATGAGCACATTCTTCTCNAGGACCTGCTAATGGATAAGACGTGGGGACATAGCACAGGGAAGAATTCAAGGGTCAATTTCACTACAACTGTTTTTTGTTTGTTTTTTAAGCGGAGGTGGGGGAAGAGAGTGAAGCAAACTGACTGCAAAGAAATATTCTTTTTATACTAAAATACAGTAAGCTTTAATAGCCATTGCCCCTCCCCAACACTTCCTGGCTTAAATGTGACGGTCACGGTCTAAACGTCAATTTCTCAGGGAGGAGTCCCCTGACGGTCCTACACTCTATCTTGAGCCCCCTTGTAGCTTATTATTCTCTCTCTCAGCTCCTTATAACTCCTCTCCCTGGAGAAGGTAAGGTCCTCCTCAGAGACGGCCTTGGAGACCTGCCTCACCACTGTCCCCCTGCGACAGGCACAGGTCTGGCATGAGAGCACATGATGAGTGAATGTACAAACACCACGACAAACATATTATGGACCACTATGCACATTTTATACGACTTGTGAAGACAAAGCTTGAGGCTCCAATGATGTCGTCATCAGCCGTCCCTCCGATCAGAACCCCACACCCTGTAGATATTTCCAACCCCCGTCTGCTCCAAGCGGTACTTCAAGGCATGACGGTGGAGAAGTCCTAGACTATCTCACTGGTGACATTCTAGGGGTCTTGGGAAACGGAATAAATTAGCAAGCAATACTGTGGTCTGTGACTCGACACAGAGATGTTAAGAGGAAGCCCACTCGACACAGCTGACATTCATCTCTCAAATTCTAGGTGAAATTTTGTAAGGGAAAAAATAGGAACGAATGTCTTCAGTCTTATTAACAACTTTGTAAGAACTTTTCAAAAGGATCTGCAGACTAATAAAATTTTGCCTTTCACATCAAAAGGCAAGAATCCACAGGGCTAAGAAAAAGTTAATATGATTCTGGTTCAATCTTTCAACAGATGATAAAGAAAAACACCTCCATTTCAT